CTGGTGTTAGGGCGGGGCTCTATTGATTATATAGTGAGAATGCATTGATTCTTTGAAAATCTTCTTCTCTGCTACTGGAGACTATTTAAACAAACTAAGTGCATGGTTATGATGCATAAGGATGCCTTTTCCAAAATTGTGAATTTCATGGCCCCAGGGTCAGGGGTTCTGGTGTTAGGGCGGGGCTCTATTGATTATATAGTGAAAATGCATTGATTCTTTGAAAATCTTCTTCTCTGCTACTGGAGATTATTTAAACAAACTAAGTGCATGATTATGATAGACAAGGATGCCTCTTCCAAAATTTTTAAATATATCTCCTCAGTTTTTGGGGTTCTTGAGGAGGGGGGGGGTGCTTAGCTACGATGAAAGTGGGAGCTTCGAACAGAATTTTTAAATCTTGTGGTCCTTGGGTCAGGGGTTCTGGCATAACGAGGGGGGGGGGGGGCTTTTGATATATAGTGGAAAAGTGTTAATTCTTTGAAGTCCATAGTAATGATGATGAGGGTAACTCTTCCAAATTTGTAAATTTCTTGACCCTTGGTCTTGGGTTCTGGTGTTAGGGTAAGGCTTTGTTGAATCTGTAGTGAAAATGCATTGTGCCTGTGAAATTCTTCTCTGCTTCTGGGCATATCGGAAGCAAACTGAGTAAAAGTTTAAATGATATGAGTAAGCGTATTTCTACCAGATTTTTAAACATCTGGACGATTTGTCTAAGCATTCTGGTCCTGGGCAGGGCTCTATTAATTTGTATTCTACTGAGAGAAGTTATTCCCCTTTTCCATTCACCTTTGATAATTAATCACTGTAAATAATGTATTTGAAAGGTTAATAGAATAAGATAATTATGCAAGAATGTTTATCGTATAATTAAAAAAGTACTTTCTTAGTTTTAATAATCAGGTAGACCTGTAAGTAATAGATAAATAAAAATGAGACAAAAATAACTTATTAAAAGTTCTTCAAAGACCATAAGAGAGGTCAATGCTAGAGGTCTTAATATGGGTTTTAAAATAGTACAGAAGCACTAATAGTTTGTTAATAGGCTGCATGGTGATAGTGTTAAGTGGGGGACAGATTAGAACTCAATTTCTGAGTTGATAGTGAATACTAGACTAATTATTTTGTTGATCCTGATCTTCCTATTTCTCTTGTTTTTGTTCCTCTGCTCTGCCTCTGCGTATTAAGTAATCAAAGTAAGCATGCTAACTGTATAGTTATGATGAGCAATAGTGCCTCTTTCAAAATTGTGAATTACATGGCCTCTGGTTTAAAATACAAACCAAATTCAATTGTTGGAAAGTTGTTACAGATACTCAGGTGACCTATAAGGCCCGTGGGCCTCTTGTTTAAATATATCATGATTTTGTACCACATTTCGTAGATGCATAGTGACATAAGTAGACCACTAGCTACCTTATACTCAGTCTTAATACCAGTGTTATTATAGTGGTAATAAATAGTGCAATATGATATATTGATAGAATTTGTCAAAAATGATATAGGTGCATATATGTATATCACTCTGATTTGATCAGTATTAGAGGCGGCACACCTCCATAGTTAGATTAAGGTAGTAGAAGTTGGTTGTACTGTAATCTGTTCCATTTCATTTCTTCCTGGTAATTAATATGGCTGATGTTCCAATTTTTCCTCTCGGTGACCAGTGATAAATTTGTATTTTTCCAAATTTAAATTTGGCCCCTGGATGTTGTGTATCTGTGTATACTGGGTCATCGAGAGGGCAATCCGGATTGTATATCATAGTTGGTTCTATTGTTACTTTGTATATTATTCCAGAAAAGACTGGGTTCTGTAATTTCGTTTTGACGTAATAATAAAATTGGCACGTGTTTTAAGCTGTCCTTCAAAAATCGAGGCCCAGTGTCACGGCAGTGTTACAGTGTTACAGATGTTAGTCTAAGAAACGTGTTTAAACCCGTTACAACATTGACGCAATGCATTAATTTGCATCATTAATTCTTTGTGCTATGAATAAATATTATAATATTACTCCATATTTAAGAGTCACCTTGAAGCAAGATTAAAATGACTCTTGTTTTTCTATAAAATTTTAAAAAAATACCCTTTATCTTTTGTGTACATTCTATAAGCAAACACTTTAACCTTAACTGACATATATCTGTATCATTTACTGTGACATAACTAAGGTAAACCCGAGGAAACAAAACAGCTGCATTTGGTTACCTACCTTTTAATATTAATTTCAAGCTGGGCCTATTGTAAGGAATATTTCTTTGAGAAATTATTTGACCCCAGGTTTACTCCTCACATGCAACATAAAAGGGTCGAAATGATTTTCAAAACATTATCTTCACAAATTAGAGGTGTCGAATGAATGAAATTTAAATACCTCAAGCAATGGCTGTTGTATAGTGATTACTATGGTACATTACACACCAAATAAAGACTAAATACTGAGGAACATCTAAAGCGATTTTGAAATGAGGTGAACGAGGAAGTAAAAAGGATACCTAATTTGTATGAAATGGAAATAATGTTAAAAAGAAAATGAAAAGGAGGACGAATGGTTCATGAACTTGTGATCATGATGCATTTAAATAAGTGGTATTTCATTGTTTTGTTTGTCGTGCCGCATGTAAAATTAAATCATTTTCGTGGTGGTTTGTTGACTTGGAGAGCACTAAACGATACAATGGCAAGTCGTTTTAAAGTCTTGTTTGTATTTGTGTCTAAAATAAATTTGACATTAAATTGCTCTAATTCTGATTAAAAATTGAGACTGTTTTCTCTTTTATAGATAACGGTACATCACCGTATTTCGTATGTGTACAATGACAATTGTCCAAGTAGGAGTTCATCTGATCCATTACGTTGCTTTTCTGGTTGTACTGGAAGTGTCAGTATGATAGGACCATGTACAGACTATAATGAAGCTGAAAACTGGGCAGATAGTGAAGGAGACACAGATTTTACATTTATAACAAATACAACATCACTTTTTATAGGGTATGTGGAAGCTTTTTAAAAATATTTAACCTGTTGTATATATTTATGAACTTCGCTTATTAGTCTCCTATAGGTTTCCTGTCCGTGTTTCATTATGTCTGTCAGTCAGTCTATTCCACATTGTTTCCCCAGATTTTGCATATATTGATCTGATAGTTGCTATAGGAGTAATTCTTGAACTGAGGAATACAGATCAAGTTTTCATTTTGTTCCAGTTAAATTATTCTTTTTTTTTAGAAATAGAGGCTAATACCGATACAACATGTATACCCCAGCATGATAGGTGTATACTTTGTTGTGAACGGGATGTATGCTTTTAAAGGTGCTTAGACACAGATTTGAACTTAATATTTTCTCAATTTTTCTGTATAATACCACGGCTTATATATTGCAAAAGCATTTCACACGAAAATATAATTAAAAACTTATTTTCTCTGGAAATTATTAGAACTACGAATTCCGGGGAGCGTTTGATTAACACATCTTTGCACTTACACAAATTTTAACTTTATCCTTAACGTTTAAGAAAATAAGCGATTTTGTTATGCATTAATGAAAAATATTACATCTATAATCCAGAAAATTCAGAGTAGAAATGTTCGAAAGCAAAAACCAGCTCACCAGTATTGTCAGTCCGAGCTCTGTTATTGTTAATGTTTACAATTCACCGGGTGTGTTCAATTGTTAAAACTCTGCACACACCACTGAGCACGGACTTACAATACTGTAAGTGGTTTTGCTTTCGAACATTCCTACTCTGAATTTTCTGGGTCATAGTTTTAATATTTTTCATTAATACACAACAAAATTGCCACTTTTCTTAAGTATTAAGAATAAAATTAAAATATGTGAAAGCGCAAGGATGTGTCAATCCAATGCGTCCAGAAATTCGAAGTTTTAATAACTTCGAGATGAAATAAGATTTTTATTATATTTTAGCATGAAATGCAATAGCAACATATAAGTCATGAAATTATACAGAAAATTTGAGAAAATATTAACTTCAAATCTGTGTCCAAGCACCTTTAAAGCGGTAAAAAGGTGTTCGAGGTACGTTTATGTCCAATTTGTCAATTTTTGGAGGTATTTCTCCGGAAAGCATATGCTAAGAGAAAAAAGCGACAATTTAGGAATATATGGATAAATATGAATCCACTGTACTCTTTCCAATTTTATTAAACGCCTAAATATTTCAACAACCTGAAAGAGAATGACATACCTTGTCTGAACAAATATTAGAAGAAAGCTTTAATTTCTCGTCATTTTCATATTGCTGTTAATTACGTTTTATTTGTAAGCATACATTGTCTGTGAATAAAAACAGTCGGATTTCAAAGATATTGACGAAAAATTAATGTTGTACATGGGGTGTATACCCTTCTTTTTCTTTGACATATTGTTTCACGATGTACTTGTTCATAAATCAGCTCTTAGATTCATCATAAGGAACAACAAGCATGGCTTTGGCATGGCTTCCACTTTTATTGAACATGTGACAAGGGAGCAGTCATTGTAGCATGCATAATAATGATAAGAAATAGTCATTATATATAGAATACTGTCACATCCTCCTTTCTTTAAAATGTTAATTTTACAAAGTTCTGCTAATACTGACACTTTACTGTCCTTGAATGATTGTCCATTTGAGTGTTTAAAAACTATGATCAAATCACTATTAAACATTTAACAAAACAGTGTGTACATTCAACATGCAATATTACGTCATAGAATGAGAAATAAGATTTAATAACAACCAAGACTGACTAGCAAATAAGCAAATACAAGGTTATTTGTCCTGTTAAGGAGACTAGGGATTATTATGCCCTCAACACAGTCTTCCTTCGCAAACTAAACTACAACAGTAAGTTTTAACTAAGGCAAGTAATTATTGACATGAAGTCTAAGCTAAACTTAGAAATAGGTAGACGAGGAGTTTTTATTACCTTTTTCACTATCTACTTTTGCCCTACACATCACGGTATCGCATTGGTTTCATAACTACACGACCACTACGTGTTTTCATGGGACGATGATACTGGTTGCTTGGGTTGGTGAACGGGTACGGTATCTTGTGTATTGCGTAATTCTGATGTTGGTGGAACTGGTGTTGGCTCATTGCTGATTATTATAGGAACTGGAGCATCATTACACTGTGATTGTTCAATCAGCGGTTCAGGCTCTGAATTTTCATGATCAGTACGGAATGGTTCTCGACTAAATCGGAGATGACGTCTATTGCGACGGTATACACGACCATCCTCAATTCTCACCTTGTACGAACGTATATCACTCTGTTCCTGAACAAATGTTTTTTTTTCATCCCTTTTCAATTCCTGTAGGTCTAATACTAACGGTATCTTCTTCTGATAAGGGTTTCAGCTCCTTAGCTCCTCGATTATAGTAGTATGTCTGACGTTCCTTGCGTTCATAAAGCTTTTCCCTGGTGTGGTCAGCATAACGTGGTCTGAGTAGATGTTCAGCTACTTTTAATAGCGTTTTGGTACGTCTACCAAATATTCGTTGTGCAGGTGAGTAACCTATTCCTTGAGAAGGCGTATTGCGTAGATCCAGGAGCGCCAAAAATGGATCTTTCCCGTCCATTACACACTTATGAATAAGCCGTTTGGCAATCTTTACAGAGTTCTCGGCATTGCCATTAGATTGTGCATATCTAGGGGACGATGTAACATGCTCGAATTCATAACTTTTACTGAATTCTGCAAACTCTCTGCTTCCAAATGGCGGTCCGTTGTCCGATATTACTCTATCTGGGATTCCATGACGTGCGAATTGCGATTTCATCATGCGAATGATTGAACTTCCTGTTTTACTTTGAGGTCTCTCCACCTCAAAGTAATCTGAATAGTAGTCTGCGAGTATGAGGTAATCTCTGCTTTCACATTCAAACAGATCACATCCTATTGTTTGCCAAGGACGAATAGGAATCTCATGGCTGATCATAGACTCCTTCTGTTGATCATCCTGGTAAGTATTACATGCAGCACATTGACCAATGTACGATACAATGTCCTTCGACATATTTGGCCAGTAGACATAGTCCTGGGCACGACGGATACATCCTTGGATACCAATATGAGAGTTATGTATACGCTGTACTATACTATGTGTGATCGCCCGGCCTTGTAGATGACACTGTTTTTAACGACTAACTCCTCTCTAAACGGAAAATACACTTGTATATCAGGATGAACTTCTTTGGAAGAGTCAGGCCATCCGTCAAGTATGATCTTCTTCAGCAATTGTAGAGATTCATCCTTAACTTCCTTTATCTGTATCGTTCATCAGATATTGCTAAGTAGGTGCGATGGTTGATGCTGTGTATGTCATGCATGTTCTCTTCAACTGAATCAGAGTCAGTGATAAGATAGGCCCTACTTAAGGTGTCAGCAAAATACATCTCTGTTTCCTTTTTGTACTCGATGCTGTAGTCAAATTTTTGCAGTCTTAATAGCATTCTCTGGAGACGCTTGGTGCATTATGAAGGTTTTTACGTACAATGATTTCTAGGGGTTTTTCGGATCCGACTGTATCGTGACATGTCGTCCATATGTATAAATTTCAAAATATTCCATGCCAAACACTGCAGCTAAAGTCTCCTTCTCTATCTGTGCATAGTTCTGTTCTGTGGCTGTCAGCGAACATATGCAATAGGATGATTGTCTTGCATAATGCATGCGCCTAGTCCAGTAGAAGAAGCATCACATTGCAAAGTCAGTTTCTTCTTTGAATCAAAGAATTTAAGAACAGGTGCACGAGACAATGTGTCCTTGACCTTGTTAAATGCTTGTCCGTGGATATCCGAAATGAGTCTCTGCTCTCAGAAGATCTCGAAGTGGACTGGTGATCTCAGACAACTGCGGTGCAAAACGTTGCACAAAATTTGTCATTCCCAATAACCTCTGAACTCCTGCCTTCTCTTCTGGGGTAGGCATTTCATGTATCGCCGTGAGATTTTGTGGGTCAACACTCAACCATCCTTGCTGATCCCATATCCAAGATAAGTGACAGATGTAAGCTTAAGTTTCATCTTACTCTGGTTAAGCTTTATGTTTCTCTCCATACATCTCTGCATTAGGGCTCGAAATTTCACATCATGATCCCTTTCAGCCTCTTCATCTGTCTCACCACATCCGTAAATTAGCACATCATCGTGTATAGGTCTGATACCTTGAATGCCACTTAAGGCGTCCATTCTCCTTTGGAACTCCTCAGGTGCGACAGAGATACCAAATGGCATCCTCAACCAGCGATATTTGCCCCATGGCGTAGCAAATGTAGTTAGATAGCTGCTATCACTGTCAAGCTCAACGTGCCAAAAATCATTTTTGCATCAACAATGGAGAATATACGAGCTTGATGCAATTCGGGTAGAATATCCTCTATAGTAGGTGTTGGGTAATGGTTCCGCATTAATGCCTCATTGGGTGGTTTCGGGTCAATACATAGGCGAATGTCACCGTTGCGTTTAGGAGCCACTACTAAGGCAGATACCCAGTCAGTTGGTGTGTTAACCGGTTTAATGACACCTTACTTCTCCAGTCTGTTTAGCTCTTCTTTCACTTTTGGTTTCAAGGCTAACGGTATTTTCCTAGGCGGTAACTGTACAGGTCGCACACTGTCCTTGACCTCCAAATGAAGCTTGCCATTCAGTTTACCTAGATCCTTGAACACATTTGCATACTTCTCATTTATTTCAATCTCATTTAATGTCAATCTGTGAAATGACGTCATTCTGAACTTGTGTCTTTGTGAGGAATTTGTCAGTATGCACAGTAATAAGTTCCATTCCTTCAATAGCTCGCTTACCCAAAATACAATGTAGCTCTTAGCCTGGCACAATAACGAATTCTAGATTATACTTCTGTCCATTACACGGATTTCGAACAGACATTCTAATGGTGCCCAAAGCCTTGGTTTCTGATTTGTTGTACATCTATAGGGTAACATCAGTCTTCTTAAGATTCTGGAATTCTTTGTCACCTGTGAGACGCACATACACATGAGCTGACAGGATATTAGCTGTAGACCCATTGTCCAACTGAAACTCCACATATTTGTCATGGATATTCATAACAGCCGTATGACGTTTTGATGATAGTGAGTGCACTTGTTCAATACTAAGAACGAGTTCATCTGATAAGTCACTTTCATGAGTCTCAATCTCATGAATTTGGGACTTTCTGCGGTTCCATGTACCACGACGTTTTTCATGATGTTTTGCTCTAGGAGGCTCTTTATTAGGACATTTCCTCTCAAAATGGTTCTGCTCGCCACATACGTTGCAAGTCTGTCCAAACGCTGGGCATTTCTCTCGACTGCGCGGATGTGTTCTCCCACAGTAACGACAAAACTGAACAGTTGGTATGGATTGGGTGCGGTTGTCTCTACGTTTCTCTTTTTTACCATGATTATCTTGTTTCACTTTCTGTTTGACCTTGACATGGTTAACATCTGCAATAGATTTGAGTTGAGATTCAGATTTCTCATTCGACCGGCATATATCTATGCAACGCTGAAGGTCCAGTTTCCTCTCCTGTAACAACTTTTTACGGGTATGATTATCTCGAACTCCGATAACGATACGATCCCTTATCATTTCATCCTCCATGTCTCCGAATTTGCATGTTTTCGCTAGTGTACGCAATTCTGCAACATAAGCATCTATATGTTCAGACTGTTCCTGATTTCTACAGTTAAATGTGTAACGCTCGTATATGACGTTGGTTTGGCCTACGCAGTAAGTGTCAAGTGCCGTAATAACCTTATCGATATTCTTCTTATCATTCTCTGAATCAAATTTTAGTCCATCCACAACATGTAACCCATCTGATCCTACACAAGTGAAGAATGTTGCACATCTGAGTTGGGTATCTCTCTCCCTTAACCCCGTAGCGTTTTCCCACACTCTTTTGAAATGTTTCCAACTGGTAGCGAGGTCACCTTTCAAATCTAAGGGCTTAGGAAATGGTATATTCATAAAAAAACATATTCAGGAAAAACATGTAAATTTTGTACTGCAGCAGGCGCTGCTTCAACTTGCTCATTCTCTTCAGGCATTGTTTTTTACGAACAGAGGAAATGCCGCCCAAAGGAAAATCGGGTAGATTCTTCAATATTTGGAGCAATTTAAACAAATGACAGGCGATCAAGACGTTTGACTCACTATAAGGATTCAGTAAACACTTCTGACACCATGTTTCACGATGTACTTGTTCATAAATCAGCTCTTAGATTCATAAGGAACAACAAGCATAGCTTTGGCATGGCTTCCACTTTTATTGAACATGTGACAAGGGAGCAGTCATTGTAGCATGCATAATAATGATAGGGAGTAGTCATTATATATAGAATACTGTCACACATATCAGTACGTGAAATCACTGAAATGAAATATATAGAAATATATGAAAATATTAAGTATACATTCAAGTGATTGTTGTAGTATTTCTACTTGTCTTTTTACATTACTTACGATTTATTGGGCGAAATCCTCTATAAACAATTCCAGGATGCACGAAATCGATTTACAGGGTAATATATTTTACTTGTTCATTGCCTATTTTGATCATTCAGTGTTATTTTGCAGATTGATGTAGTAATAAACCACACCTCTTTATTGTAAACAACTCATGAATTACCTCGATACATTTTACGACTTTAGATGGGATCCAAATTTCCGGTTGGGGTTATAAACGAAGGATAAAACCAGACCTCGGAATGGAATACTCGGAAGTCTCTGGTTTTATCCTACCCCCAACCGGAAGTTGTATCCCATCTAAAGTCTTAATAATATGTATCGAGGTAATTTTCGAGGAATAAATGAGCGGTTTACAATAAAGAGGGTAAACAAGAGACATCTGAAAGGATTTATTTGACAAGAAAAAAATCTCTCGAAGCGAACGATATAATTTTAAAGTAGGTTAATGATCGATATATGAACAAAATACGAGCTTGAAGCGGGGGTGCCTGAAATTGAGTTAGGTACCTTGTGGTAAAAATAGGTAGGGGTGCCCCGTATACGAAACAAGTGCCTGTGACTTTATTGGTTTTCACCGCGTAGAAAATTCTACACGGGAGATCACTCTCAATCAAGCTCCAGACAGCTCAGTATTACTCCATATCATTATTCGTAGGGAAAGACGTCCCGGAGAGTATGGAGTATGACTCTCAGTCATTCTCCATACAGTGCCAATTCTCCGGGACTACTTGGTATGGAGTTGTAGCGTACCGTACGTAATACTGAGCTGTCTGGAGCTTGGACTCTCATGACGGAAAACCCCATGAATTACGTTTTTTCTCCGGATAACCGTGAGTTGCCACTTTCCATAAATGAATAAAATAAAATAATCATAAATAATCAGCGTTTTTTAAAAGAAATATATTTTTGATTTAAAATTAGACTGAAACGCTTCTAGTCGACATCACGAAAATGTACATATCATCTAGCTTGAAATAGGAAATATGACGCACGCTTGACAACTTTCCCAGAAACATTCAATCAGTATATTTCTGGGTGCAGTTGGGGGGGGGGGGGTATTGCACAAATTAATGTAGAAAATAGAAATTCCTTGATACGCAAAAAAAGGAAGAGGATCAACTGATGTTCCTTCCCCCGTTCATACAGGCGTGAGATACATAAATGACTTGTATATAGAACTGGACATTCAACTTTGCCCAAAATGCTTCATATCGGTAATAAAAGAAAATATTTTACAATAATGATTTCAAATTCTAATCGGTCATGCAATACAGCCTGCTAGATTATCCCACAGTATGGCTATTATAGTCACAGTAAAATGTGTAATTTCTTTTTCTTTCTTTTGGCAAAAAAAAAAAAAAAAAAAATTACAAACATTATTTCATATGTAGTTCATTATTACGAGGAAGAGCGATATTTTTATAAGAAAGAATTAAATCCAAACCATGATTATACTTTAAATCTGATGTATATGTTTTCAACATTGAGGTACCTGTTTTAAGCTTTAACATTACATGTATTTTGTTTCTGCAGTAAATAT